CGCCTGAGGCTCCAGCTCCGGACAGTCCGCAGCGCAGAACGCCGCAGCACAACACCTGAGCGCGCGGAACGTGCGCCAGGCGCCGGTCACGCGACTCGCCCGCCCGGCTCCGGCTCCGCGCGGGTGCCAGCTCGCGGGGTCCCGGCCCACAGCTCCGGCCCGGCCGCCCGCTCCCACCGTACCTGGCCGGCTGCGGCAGCGGCGGCAGCGGCGCTGCTCCTCACGTACCCGTTCCGCACCTCCCCGTTCGCCACGCAGCCGTTCGCCCGCAGCGGGCGACGGCAGCAGCAGCCTCCGGGCTCCGGCCGCATGGTCCAGGCAGCACCAGGCGCAAGACAGACTCTGTAGGCGGTGGCCGAAGCGGCGGCGGCTCCAAGTCCCGCTCCGCACCCCACCCACCTCCCCGAAACCGGAAATGGCTGCACGCTGCCGCCAATTCCCGGCTGTCACAAGGGGGCGGGGCCCACTCCCGCGGAGGCCCGGCCGCCCGCGGGAAGTCCGGGCCGGGGCTGGAAGGAGGGTCAGGAGATTACGGACCGCTGACCAATCTGGAGGAGGAGGAGGCGGACCCCATGCTGCCGCCTGGCCAATCACAGGCGAGAGTAAAGCTGGTCGCCTTGTCCAGGGGCCTTTAGGAGGGACTCGTGGACCTGGCACCCGATTGGCTTGGCTTTTGCTTAATGGTCCACCCTGACGAGGAGGCGGGGCCTAGGAAAATTAGCCAATTGGCGTGTGAGGGTAAAAAAGGGGGCCGAGCCCGTCTCTGGAGCGGGTTCCCTGGTTTTCCTGGACAGCTGGCGCCCCCTCTCTCTTGCCTCCGGGTAAATTCGCGGGTTTAATTCCAGGCCAAGACAGGGCTCCTTTATTTAATTAATTCCTCTATGGGTGTTGTTCTTATAGTAGTATTTTTTACATTATCTCACCATTATTCAGTTTACATTAACACATCTTTTTTCCCGCAGCTGCCAACATTTTTTTCATATTTTTTAAACCTTATTTTTCAATTACAGTTTACATTCGACATGAATTTGTATTAGTTTCAGGTTACAATGTAGTGGTTAAACAATCATATACGTTACACTGCATTAACACATTTCTTAAGTAGTCATTCAAATGTCCCTTTGCCCTCCACACTGTCTCTATCAATGTTTTGTGTTCAATTTCCTTTAAAGAGCACTTCCTTGAAAGTCAGGAAACCTGGTTTCCTTCCAACTCTGCCAATAACGGGAAGCTAAACCTTGAATACTTCACAACTTTAGGAGCCACATTCTTTAAAATGGAGTTAATACTTCCTGCTTCATAGACTCATTGCAAGAATTATTTTAATAAAGCATTGTCCACCTATCATGATACCTGGCTCACACTAGATTCTAGTGATGGCGAACCTTTTGAGCTCGGCATGTCAGCATTTTGAAAAACTCTAACTTAACTCTGGTGCCGTGTCACATATAGAAATTTTTTGATATTTGCAACGATAGTAAAACAAAGACTTATATTTTTGATATTTATTTTATATATTTAAATGCCATTTAACAAAGAAAAATCAACCCAAAAAAAGAGTTCGCGTGTCACCTCTGACACGCGTGTGTCATAGGTTCGCCATCACTGCGTGACTAAAAGTATAATAAATCCTGTATTATTTTCTCACCCCTTTAATCCTATCTTCCTACACAGGTTAGAAAGAAAGGAAATGGATGTATATTATAGCAAGAGACTTTTGGTTACCCATAAAGGATTTAGTGTTGGAGTTAAAAGTATGGACTCAGCTCAGGCTGCGTTTGAATACTGGCTGCACCACTTATGAGCAGAGTGACCTCTATACGTCTTCATCTGTTCAGGGGGGTAATAGATGTCCTGAGGATTTAATGAGTTGATACGTGTAGTGTATTTTGTTCAGGACCTGGCAATTAGTAAACATGAATAAGTGTTGGTTATTATTAATTGCTGAATGTGCCTGTGAGAGCCCCTACATTCTTCTCCGACCCTCCAGGAGCTTTAGAAAGGGGATTTGACAAGTTAGCAGTTTTGCATGATTTAGGAGCTAAACAATCTAACAGCAGGTGGGCAGAGCACATATCCTCTTTGAACTAACAAACAACATGATCCCAAAGAACCCAAGTTTGCGATATGAAGCTAAAAAAGAAGCATGTGGCCCTGACCTGTTTGGCTCAATGGATAGAGCATCAGCCTGGGGACTGAAAGGTCCCAGGTTCGATTCTGGTCAAGGGCATGTACCTTAGTCATGTACCTTAGTTGTGGGCACATCCCTGGTGGGAGGTGTGCAGGAGGCAGCTCATTGATGTTTCTCTCTTATCAATGTTTCTGACTCTCTATCCTTCCTCTCTGTAAAAAATCAATAAAAGATATATTAAAAAAAAAAAAAAGAAGAAGAAGAAGCATGTGGCCCTAGCTGGTTTGGCTCAATGGATAGAGCGTTGGCCTGCGGACTGAAGGGTCTCAGGTTCGATTCCAGCCAAGGGCACATGCCTGGGTTGCAGGCTCGATCCCTAGTAGGAGGTGTGCAGGAGGCAGCCGATCAATGATTCTCTCATCATTAATGTTTCTAGCTCTCTCTCCCTCTCCCTTCATCTCTAAAATCAATAAAATATATTTTAAAAAATTTAAAAAAAGAAGAAGCATGTGGTTTGTGCCTCACATTCTAATGAAAGACAAGATGTTCACATAGTAAACAACAATAAAAGGCCGACTGCAGGCTGGAGAGATTAGGCAACAGGAGTTCTGATGAGGAAGGCTGGATGACAGTGATGAGTCTGGACTTTCTAAATAAGACACTTTCAGGGCAAGAATCTAATTGGAAACATGGCTAAGGGATTTTAATTGACATTTACGTAGTGGGCTGAATGAATTGGAGACCACTTGAGAGGAGGATGTGGCATGAGCTTAATCTTAAGGATGATAAGGATTTAGAAAGTTGGAAATGAGAAAGAATGGGAGGATGTCTCTGGGAGAGGGAACCTTCAGAAGCTCAGGTGTAGAGGCTGTAAAGAGCAAAGCCTTAAATTGGAGACTCAGAGTAAAGAAGCCTGACTAGATTAGAGGTATCCTGTTAGCCAATCTCTCCCTCCGGAGGGCAGAATACCAGGTCCTTGGCTGGTTCTGCCACTTATTCACCATGTGTGGTCTTGGACGAGTCATGCAACATCAGCCTTGGTTTCTTCACCCATCTTATGAAGTCAATACTACTACCTCAAAAGCCTTTTGTGAGCATCAATGATACACTACACAAATGATGTCCTTGCACGCCATTGCTAAATCACAAAAAGGATGCCTCAGAAGGCAGTAGGAAACACCCCAGGCTCTGTGTAAGCAGAAAAACAACTCCTTCCAGATGCATAAGCAGCCTCATCATCATTTTACTGAGTTCATATGCAAAATACCATGTTAGGCACCAGGGTTACAACTCTTCTCTTCCTCCAAGATTGCTCAAACCACTTCAACTGTAAAACCTTTGTTGACCTCCAAACTCCACACACTTGTGTAAGCATGTGGGGCATTGCTTTGGGATTCTATTTTGAAAGGGAGGTTACACGGTGGTGAGAAGCCAGAGTTCTGCGGTTAGAGAGGATTGGAGATCCAGCTCTAGCACTTAGAAGCCTTGTGACTTTGGCAAAGTTGCCTAACCTCTCTGTGACTCAGTTCCTTCATCTGTAAAATGGGACATACCTATTAGAAAAGCATTTAGTATCAGGGCCTGTTACATAATATTTAATAACTGCTGGTGATTATTAGTTGAATGAATGAATTATTTATCAAATGAATGAATGATTGATTGAATACATTTACACCCCAACTAGACAGAGAGCAGGCTCCTTGAGTTCAGGGAATTGTCAAATTCATTTTTAGGTTCATAGCACCTAGCACAGTGCCTGGCACATAGTAAGTGCCCAATAAATGATGAGTGAATAAATGCATGAATGAATGAAAATCTGCTACTGTCTCCAAAAAGCCTTTTATCACATGGAAACTGTTAATTAAGATGTGTTTGGTTGCAGATAACATAAGCCAATAATAGAAAACTTCATCTAGAAAGGCAGATTTATTGGAACTCTCCTCAAGATAGGTAAGTGTTAGGACCCAGAAAAAAAATCTCAAACCTCAGCAACGAAAATTACAAACCTTCCTCTTAGCATCAAGTTACTTTGGAGGCTCAGCTTGCAGCAACCTACAACTTTCACATTCCCTAGGTCAAACATAAGCTACCAGAAAGAGAAATCTGATTGGCCCAGTTTAGGGTAAGATGGCTAATGCTTGACCAATCAATCAATGATGGCCAAAGCACAGTCAAGCTGCTGGAGGTGAGGAATCAGTGACAGAAAAGGAGGATTCGCTGCAGAGAAGGAAGGAACAACCTTATCACTGTCCATTACAAGGAATGGGAATGGAAAGGACAAATAACCATTGCTTGGAATGGGTATTAAAAGAGGAAGCTTCCAGGACAGCATTTTTAAAAGGGACAAGCAGAACTGCAGCCGAGGAAAAGAAATGAAGTGAGAGAAACCAGACCATTTAGCCGGGGAAGCAGCCCACCTGCACTATCAGATAAAGGCCTTGGTTGCGTGCAGTGCAAGTTAATGCTGGCCTACTTACACAAAAGGGAATTCATTGGAAGGTCATTAGCAGCTCAGAGACCTGGCTGGAGGTTGAGCGACCAGGCTTAGACAAAGTAAGGAGCTCCAGTGGGCTAGGCAGCAAGGACATCGGCAAGGGTTTGTGGCAGAAACTGTCTGGAGAACTAACCACCAAAATAAATGAGCTCCAACCAGCTCTTCCCTCCTTGGCACTTGTCCAAGAGTCAAAGTCCTGGGAGAGATCATCAGATTGGTGACTTTAGGTCACATTGGTCCAAATGGGAGGGTGGGGCAAACAAAAGAAGGATGTGCTTTCTTCACCTTTCATGTGGGCGGTGTTTACCAGGATTCACTCTCCCAAAAGGAGGACACAAAATGAGGAGAGGATGTTCCCCAAAGGAAATTGGGGACCTTCTAGAAAAAGGGAATAGATGTTGGACAGGCAAACATGACCAAGGTGCACCATATCTGTTAAAATAGCAGATGTAGAGGCAATCTACTTCCATACAAAACCCAGGGCTGGGCAACTCAGAGATATTATCTGATCCTGACTCTGAGAGCATCATTTGGTCTTCCTTTTCCAAATCTTTCAGGCTTCATTAATTCTGGGCATCATGCTGGGTACTACGAATACAATGATAACCAACCAAACAAATAAACAACATGGTCTCTGCTTTTACGGAGCTGCCATCCTGGTTTACAAGAAATGGACTTGCTATTTCCCTTTTTATTACTTCTTTTTTTTTTTTTTTAGAACAACTCAGCAAAATAAAATTCCTGTTTATTGTGGACAACATTGTTTCACACATACATCGAACAGGTCAAAAGTAAATAAATAAATAAACAGCAATTTCATAGACAAAAAAAGGGAAAAAAAAGAAACCTTTTTATCTTTGGCCTTTTTAACCATCTCATACAAACCAACTACTTATAGTACAGCTAAGTACATACACAAAAAGTTACTGGAATGCTCGGAATAAGATTGGTTTTTTTTTTGTTATTGTTTTTGCTTTTTTTACAAGGTTTTTTTTCTCCTTTGAGATTATAGTGAACATGGTCACACCACAAGTAAAGTCAGAAGTAGGACAGAGAATGCTCCAAAGGCTGGTTTGGTCATCCCAAGATCATTAAAAATGGCTGACCCCTAACAATATGTACAAAAATATAAAATGTAAATAAAAAATACAAACACATTTTCCTTTTTAAAGTACTTTTAAGAAAAAAAGCAGGGCCTTGGAAGTTTTGGTTCTTTTTTCCTCCCGTGTTGCAAATTCACGTTGTGGTTTTGGTTGGGTGGTGGAGAGTGCCTGTCATCTGCAGGTGGCGCTGCCTGAGGTGGGTGGGTGGGCAGGTGGGCGGAAGTCTCTACTGGAAGGTGACCACGTTTAGATTCTGAGACGGGAAGTGGAGGGTGAAGAGGTCACAGAGGCCTTTAACTTTTCCTTATTTTGCTGACTAGTCATCCTCATCGGTCTTCTGTTTCTTGGTGTCAACATCGTCATCCTCATCATCTTCAGCTGCCCGTTTGCCTGTAGCTGCCTCAGCCTCCTCATCTTCATCTCCATCCTCTTCCTCACCATCACCTTCCTCTTCCTCCTCCTCCTCCTCCTCCTCCCCTCCTTCTTCCTCTTCTTCATCTACCTCATTGTCAGCCTCCTGCTCCCCATTTTCCTCATTAGCGTTCCCATTCGCAGGTGCATCTCTTCCATGCTCTGCCTCCTCCACAACTTCCTTCTTCTCCTTTAAGTCCTTGGTGGTGATCTCGGAGCTGGTGTCCACAGCCGTGTCTGACACGGTGGGGCACGCTGGTGATCCTATGCAGCGCATTTTTTTTTTTTAAAGCGAGAGTTGGAGGACTCTGGCGAAGAAGCTGCCGGAGTCCACGGCGGTGGAGGAGGCGCGGCGAAGGTGGTTGCAGCGAGCGGAGAGGGAGCCACAGGAACAATGCAAAGATGGCTTTTCAGAGCAGCCAGTGGCCCCTTTTTATTACTTCTAATCTAATACAATGAATGAAGAGTCTACTTCTTCTCTCCCTGGGTTTCTGGCCCTACTTTTGCTGGAAAATCTTAGATCACATTTTTGGACCATATTCAGTGATAATATTTGCATCTACAAGAACTGAGTCAGCTTCAGGACCAGTTTAGAATTGCAGTATCATTGCTAGACTTAAGTTGTTTAAAGGAATGATGCATGCAAATAAGAAGCTTTAAGAGAAAATGATGGTTTCTGATTGGCTCAAGGTGCCTGTTGAACATCCACTAGAGTGATTTTAATCTGTGTCTAACAAGGCTGTTGTAATTGGAGCTTGGAGATAAAATAGATGAGCATTCCAGGAATAGGCAGCAAGAGCCTGTCTCTCAACGGTAGGTCTCTGCCATTGTGTTTCCTCTGCCCTAGAAGCACCTCAGAGCCTCCTACTCAACTGCCATGCCCCACACTGCCACCCTGGACTTCCTGTGGGTACAGATGCGACTGAGTGTTGCAATCATCTGAGGCTCTGCTTCAGGAAGTGGACTTTTACTTCTGGCGCCAGGAAGGAGGAGAGGGGTGGTGCTGCAGATAACAATTATGATGGTGATGGTATTAGTCAAGACTTTCAGTTTTGAAACTAAATTCAAATTGTATTAAGCATAGAGATTTGTTGGCTTATATAACCAAAAATAAAACACCCAAAAAACCAAAACAAACAAACAAACAAAAAAAAAAACTAGGTAGATCTGACTGAATCTAGGTGCTCAAACCAGGCCATCAAAAAATCTGTCCCAAAGAAAAAAACAAACAAAAATCTGTCCCTATCCTTGGTTTGGTGTCCCAATAAATTTGGTTCATTCCCAGATAGGAGGTCACCATTGATAGTAAAGATGGCTTATGGCTGGCAAGTTTGCAGTCAACCAGCTTTAAAACCTCAGCTGAGGGTGAGAATGCCACAAAGAAAGCCTGGTATCCTGCTTGGAAGCCCTGAAGATGGCTGGCGCTGGAGCATCAGGCCCATGCCCTACCATCACTGGCGGTTGGTAAGAGTAGAAGGGGAGCAGTAAAGATGCCTCTGCGTCCCTGCGGAACCCCCACACACTCTGGGCCGCAACGAATAGGAGGGCTACTGAGATGGGCCTTAAAGCCTGGAGCGTGGGCTCAGGTGGAGTTGCTACAGGTGAGAGATTCACCTAACTCAGCAGATACTGCAGGCAGGCCTGAAGGCAGCTGGATGGCTTGGCTTCCTGGCCCTACGGGGCACATTAAGATTCAACCATGAGATTCCAGCAAAGGTGGTCGGTTACCATTCTTGTTGTGTTTATGCAAACATCAGGCCAAATTGAATACAGTAGATAAATTAATCTTGATTTGGCTTTTTGATAGCCATGGAGGAATTTTAAGAAGAAAGATCCTATTTCAATAGAAGTTGTTAAAGCTAAAATGGTTTCTTTCCCTTCCACCGGACCATTTGTTAAGCGTATAGGGATAGTTCAGTTGATAGTTCTGTGTGCCCAGTATGGGCCTCTAGCAACGGTGAAATAGAAATGCAGTCCGTCTCATGATTGAGCCGGAAGTTCCAAAACAAAGGGGGGAATGAAAGGGCGAGGACTACGCCCTCCATCTTACCCTGGGTCCTCCATTTTTAGGCAGCCATGTGCTCGGCAAGGCTTCTTCCCGGAAGCCCAAGCCTCTGCTAGCCACACCCAGGATTCCTTTAAACTAACCAATGACAATCAAGGGAAGTGCGCGCCATAGATTTGACCACATCCTGTGTAACGAGGCACCGACTTGCGCCTGGCCAATCGGCCGGGCCCACAGTCCCCTCTCCTCCCCTTACTCCACCCCCCTATAAAACTCCTCTTCCCACTGGGCTAGCTCTCTCTCTGCCACTTGCTGCTGTGTCAGTAAGGAGGGTAGGGGAGCCAAGCCCGGGTTTGAATAAAAGACTCTTTGCTTTTGCATCGGACACGGCTGGCTCCCTGGTGTGGTCTACTGGGGATCTTGAAATCTGGGCATAACATTCACATGCTCAAACAAGGCTGCTGAGGGCCCATCCAGTGTGAGTGTGTGTGTGTGTGTGTGTGTGTGTGTGTGTGTGAGAGAGAGAGAGAGAGAGAGAGAGAGAGGAGAGTGTGTGTGTGTGTGTGTGTGTGTGTTTGTGTGTGTGTGTGAGAGAGAGAGAGAGAGGGAGAGAGAAAGAGAGAGACATATTGGGTGAGGAAGAAGGGAAGTGATAAAAAGTCAGGTTAAGTATGTTAGGGAATGAGTGGATGGGAAGGGGCCATCCAGCCTGGGAGAGATGACCAGGTTCCAGCAACAGGTGGAAAAGCTGAGAGGTATACCTCAACATAATAAAAGCCATTTATGACAGGCTCCAGCAACAGGTGGAAAAGCTGAGAGGTATACCTCAACATAATAAAAGCCATCATGACAAATCCACAGGCAACATCATACTCAATGGGCAAAAACTAAAACCATTTCCCTTAAGAACAGGAACAAGACAGGGATGTCCACTCTCACCACTCCTGTTCGACATAGTACTGGAAGTACTAGCCATTGCAATTAGACAAGAAGAAGAAATAAAAGGCATCCAAATTGGGAAAGAAGAAGTAAAACTGTCCTTATTCGCAGATGACATGATATTGTACATAAAAAACTCTAAAGATTCCATCAAAAAACTATTAGACTTGATAAATGAATTCGGCAATGTAGCAGGATACAAAATTAACGCCAAGAAATCTATGGCATTTCTATACACCAATAGTGAACTTACAGAAAGAGAGACTAAAAAAACAATCCCATTTACCATCACACCAAAAAAATGAAGATACTTAGGAATAAACTTAACTAAAGAGGTAAAAGACCTCTACTCAGAAAACTACAGGACGTTGAAAAAAGAGATAGAGGAAGACATAAACAGATGGAAGAACATACCATGTTCATGGATTGGTAGAATCAACATCATTAAAATGTCCATATTACCCAAAGCAATCTATAAATTCAACGCACTGCCAATTAAAATACCAAGGGCATATTTCACAGACCTAGAACGAACTCTCCAAAAATTCATCTAGAATAAAAAAAGGCCCCGAATAGCTGCAGCAATCCTGAGAAACAAGATCAAAGTAGGTGGGATCTCAACACCTGATATCAAGCTGTATTACAAAGCCACTGTTCTCAAAACTGCCTGGTACTGGCACAAGAACAGACATATAGATCAATGGAACAGAATAGAGAACCCAGAAATCGACCTGAACCAATATGCTCAATTAATATTTGACAAAGGAGGCAAAAACATACAATGGAGTCAAGACAATCTCTTCAATAAATGGTGTTGGGAAAATTGGACAGATACATGCAAAAAAATGAAACTAGACCACCAACTTACACCATACACAAAAATAAACTCAAAATGGATTAAGGACTTAAATGTAAGACAGGAAACCATAAAAATACTAGAGGAATGCAAAGGCAACAAAATCTCAGACATATGCTGAGGCAATTTCTTCACTGATACTGCTCCTAGGGCATTGGAAACTAAAGAGAAAATAAACAAATGGGACTACATCAAAATAAAAAGCTTCTGCACAGCAAAAGAAACCATCAACAAAACAACAAGAAAGCCCACTGCATGGGAGAACATATTTGCCAATGTTATCACTGATAAGGGCTTAATCTCCAACATTTATAGGGAACTCATACAACTTAACAAAAGGAAGATAAACAATCCAATCAAAAAATGGGCAAAGGACCTTAACAGACACTTTTCAAAAGAGGATATTCAGAAAGCCAAGAGACATATGAAAACATGCTCAAAGTCACTAATCATCCGAGAGATGCAAATGAAAACAACAATGAGGTATCATCTCACACCTGTCAGAATGGCTATCACCAACAAATCAACAAACGACAAGTGCTGGAGAGGATGCGGAGAAAAGGGAACACTCATGCACTGCTGGTGGGAATGCAGACTGGTGCAGCCACTATGGAAGACAGTATGGAGTTTCCTCAAAAAGTTAAAAATGGAACTCCCATTTGACCCAGTGATCCCACTTCTAGGAATATATCCCAAGAAACCAGAAACACCAATCAGAAAGGATATATGCACCCCTATGTTCATAGCAGCACAATTTACCATAGCAAAGATCTGGAAACAGCCTAAGTGCCCATCAGCAGATGAGTGGATTAAAAAACTGTGGTACATCTACACAATGGAATACTATGCTGCCTTAAAAAAGAAGGAATTCTTATCATTTGCAACAGCATGGATGGAACTGAAGAGCATTATGCTAAGTGAAATAAGCCAGTCAATGAAAGAAAAATACCACATGATCTCACTCATTTGTGGATAATAAAGACCATTATAAACTGATGAACAAAAATAGATACAGAGGCAGAGCTGCCTCGAACAGACTGTCAAACTACAGCGGGAAGGCCGGGGAGGGTTTGGAGGCAGGAGGGGGAAGTAAGAGATCAACCGAAGGACTTGTATGCATGCATATCAGCAAAACCAATGGACACAAGCCACTGGGGGGTAGGGGAGGCTGGGGGAATTTCAAGTAGGGCGTGGGGGGGGGAGGAGACATATGTAATACTTTTTTGTAATACTTTAAGCAATAAAAAAAGAAAAAAGAAAAAGAAAAGCTGAGAGGTAAAAGCTCTTCCAGGGAGTAGCTGAGAAATTCCTTAGAAAAGAAGTAAAAATGCAATCTCCGAAGGGCTTTTCTTGAATTATTGTGGAAAAGAAGTGGGTAGAGAAATAACAATGAAGGAAGGAGTGGCCCTAGGGAAAAAAAGTTGTTACTGAGAAAATAGAGGGTAGAATTAATTGTCATTCTAACCTTCCTGCCACTGAGACTGTTGCAATG